CAGGGCCACAGAGCTGTCCTCCAAGGCTGCTTAAAGCCGAGCCAGGGAGGGTGCAGGGCCACAGAGCGGCCACGGAGCTGTCCTCCAAGGCTGCTTAGAGCTGAGCCAGGTTGCAGGGCCACGGAGCAGCCACGGAGCTGTCCTCCAAGGCTGCTCAGAGCCGAGCCAGGGTGCAGGGCCACGGAGCTGTCCTCCAAGGCTGCTCAGAGCCGAGCCAGGGTGCAGGGCCACGGAGCTGTCCTCCAAGGCTGTTCATGCTCGCCTAGCCCTGCGCTCTATTAATCCCCAGGGAGCACCCCAAAACCAATCAGACTGAAACCACACCCTACCTGCCACTTATCCTTAAATGGCCATCACAAATATAAATTCAATTTTGAAGCAATAAATAACAAAAGCAGGGAAAAGAATATTTAAAGGATAGCAGCATGTCCGCAAGGTAAATGCCAAGATTTATTAGGAACAAAAATTGATTTCTCACATATAAAAGGAAAAAAGTATACTGATTTGGATTTTCTAGCTTTGGAAAATCACTTTTTAAATCTTGATCCTGCTGAGAAACCTACATCATTGTAACATCAACTTAGGAGTCCTGTCCCGTGGGGTGTGCTGGAGGGCGGCGACAGGGCTGGCAGGGCCGGATCGGCTGTTGATGTGAGGCGTTTGACGAAGAGGACATCTGTGTCTATGTGTAGCGTGTGCACAGTCAGAGCCTCTCAAGAACCATGTGGAGACCTCTGCAGACATACGTCTCTAGACTTGGGTATCTTTGTGTGCACGTGCATGGCTAAAAGAAAATTAGCAAGAATGTCTTGTCATGCCTCTTCCCTTAGTCTGAACTCTGACTTCCAGACAGATGTCTAGGTTATTTCTGAAGGTCTCCAGGGCAGCAAGCGAGGCAGCCTCCTAGTGCTCTTACATGGCAGTGCTGTTAGGCTAACAGCGTCGCTCCTCTCCGCTTCACAGTTAGCAACTGCATGACCTTCGGATAGCTTTTTACCTTTTAAGCCTCAGTTTCCACTTCTATAAAGTAAGGCTAAAAAGAGCGCTTGCCCTATGAGTTGCTGATGAAAGTGGTGTGCGCCGAGGCCTGAGACGTCGTGCCTGGGCAGTAGCGGACTCACTGGGGAAGTTAGCTAATGTTAGTGTGACTGCAGGCAGCAGAAGGAAAGGCCTGGTGCAGCTTGGCCCCTTTCAGTGTGTCCCTGCTCAGGAGGCCCCAGAGCGGTTGTGCAGGTCGCCTCAGTGCGGCTGCCACAGCCCACACTGAAGTGACTGTTGATGGCCTGTTTCACTAGAAGCAGTGCTGACGTGTGCAGCTGTCTGTCTGTGGGAAGATTGTTCGTGCTCACAGTCACTATGTACTTCATTCCAACTTCCAAAGCTGCTCTAAGTCACCACAGATGTGAGCCACAGCCAGGAGGGAGGTCCTGTTGGAGGGCGGGGGCCGGCTCGGGCACGCAGCCCATACGACGCTGGGTGTGGACGCGCCGCGTTGGCCCGCCTTCCTAGTGCAATGGTGGTCCTGTTGATGAAGTGCAATGAAGCACAGTGGAAGGGCACCGTGGCTCGGGTTTGCTCTCGTGGTGTTGTAGTTATTTCTGTTGTGTGTCACTTTTTTTTTTCTACCCTAAATTATGAAATTTCAGCAGCAGAGGTTAAATGATTTGTTGGCATTTGAGGGCTTAGGCAGCAGGTGGCGTCTTGCTGTGACTTCAAGGCTGGCCTGGAACTCAGGGTGTAGCGCACACTTGCCTTAAGCTTGCTACCAACCTCCTGCCTTAGCCTCCCCAGTGCTGAAATTACAGGCATGCACCACCACACCGAGCTCCTTAGGTGGCATTTTTAAAAAGCATCTTAACAGTATTAGCGGGAGCCTGCCTTTGTGGGAGTCTCTCTCCCCTGGGGGCACAGCTAGAGAGGCCCCACACTCACGAGCACTGCTTTTTCAAGTGATGGTTTGGGGGGGGTGCGTGCATGCCTGTGCGTGTGTGTGTGCATGTGTGTGCCTGTACATATGTGTGCATGTGTGTGTGCGTGTCTGTAGTTTGCTGGGGATTGGCCCGAAGCCTCTCCCATGCTAAGCAAGTTCTCCACTGCTCGATGACAACCCCCACTCCTAAAGAGGGCAATGCTGGACAAGATTGGCAGCCCTGAGCTCTAAATGGCCGCCTCTCACATGCAGCAAGCTTGGGTCCAGCAGTCACAGAGACCTCCCACCAGCTGCCTTGTCTACACTTCATCGCCCCGATGCAGGCCCCCTCTGCACTCTGGCCTGACAGCGCGATTTGTATGCAGGTGTCCAGGAGGCTGTGGTGAGCTGCTTGAACAGAGAGACGCGGGAGCGCGCTGACCCGAACCTGTGCACGACAAGCCGCCGGCCCCCAAAGCACCCGAAACCATGCAACTTGGATCCCTGCCCAGGAAGGTAAGAGAAGCCTTGCCTGCCCTGCCTGCAGGAGCACGGGCAGAGTGGGGTACTTCTTTCTATAGGCAAGACCAGAACACTTATTGTTACCCAATGTTTTGAAAACCAATTAGCATCAGCTCAAACTTTTAGTCAAATTCACTTAAATTTAATTGAAAGCAGAGCTTTGGAATTCCATCCCAATCAACGGCCGTGCCCAGAGCCCAGAAGACTTTGTGCACTGCAGGGAGCTGTGTGGTGTGACTGGTATGTAGCCGTGCTGCCCTACCACTGCTCACGGAAGGAGAAGGAACTGAGTTCAGGTGTCGTGGCCTCTCCACCTTTCAACCTGTGTCCCCAGCCCTTGCACCAGAATAAGGAATTGGCTTGTGAATTGCAGGGCATCAAGAACCGAAGCATCTGGGTGGTATAATTGGCCCGCTGTGAAATCCCGAGGCACACAGCGTGCAGATTCATTATAGCAGGCTTCAGGCATCATTCCGCATGCATAAAGTCAGTGGAGCGCGTCACTGCTCAGCCCTGCCTGGGGCTCTCTGGGGCCCAGCCCCAGGTCCTAATCACCACAGCAGTCCTCACAACTTTATGGTGTCTTGAGAAATTTCTGCCTGTCAGATTCTCCTTTTTGAGCAAATCCCGTATGATTTCACTTTGGAAGGGAGATGTTTTAAGAACCAAAGTCAGGCTTTCAGATCTGCTGATGGGTTGAAGAATGTGTCTGGAGAAGGTCATGCCCTAGGTATGAAAGGAATGCTGCTTCTGAATAGTGCTCCTCTTTCTCGAAAGTGGTCCCTGTGAGTGGCAGTGTGGCGCTTTCGGGCACGCATGGCTGGGTGCTGGCCAGGCCGCCAGCTGGGTGACAGGCCTTCTTCAATCAAGCCCTGACTCACTCCCATGGCGCTACTTCTGCCGATCAGAAAAGCTGCTCATATATTGATTTGAATGGTGGACCTGGACTTTTCTCCTTCAAATCCAGGAATGGAGACCACCACGGCCACATTCTCCAAGGCAAGCAGCAGTCAGCCACTGCTTGGAGTAGTAACACACCCCGCCCCATAAAAACAGCAGCCGGTAAGCAGAGTCAGGAGCTAGACCAAGCAGGGTTCGAATCAAGTACGTGGAACCGCAAGTAGCTTTCTTTTCTGTCCCTGACCCACCTGGTGCCGAACTCATAGCTCTCCCACTTGATGAGCCTGAGACCTAAATGCATGGGCAAAGGACACGAAGTCTTTTCATTTCTGCCCACCCACAGAGAGGGAGCAGAGTGCATCCTGCAGGGGCCACTGCAAGGCCTGTGTCTACGAGGTCAAGAGTCCGTCTTCTCATCCTGTCTCTGCCACCAGCCAGCAGCATGGCCTTCAGCAAGCTGACAGTTCTATTTGCACACCGGCAAAATAGCCTGGCTACGTACAGGATCATCTGAGGACACAGTGTCCTTTTCAAATATCCTGCAAGTTTTCATTCATCTTTACGTAGGAGTGGCAGACAGCTATTCCTGATTGCTTCTGCCCGTAGCTGTTCAGTTATGCGCTGCTCATTCCTGTCACCAGGAAAGCAGGCAGAAGGGTCTTTCTGATGTATTTCCATATTGCAGGCACATGAAAATGTCCTGATAAACTGAGGCGAGGCTTTCATGCCCAAGGCCTGGCGCAAACTGCTGGGCTTTGTGGCCATTAAATCTACTCTTTCCTTGAGCAGCAAAATTAATCTGACACGAGGTGTCCTTTCCCATCACTTCTCAGGTTGAATTAGACAATCTTCATTTAGTCTGTGACTTTTGATGACTCACAGATGAGACCATGCTGAGTTCACAGTGCTGCATTTGCCCCAGACAGCTTCGGTTCTTCGGTTTCCCCATAGCCAACAGTTGGGCTCACAGGCAGATCTTCTCAGCGAAGGCTTCTTGGGTCAGCACATGCAGCTGAGCACTTGCAGAATGATGCTAATTAAAACAGTGAAGGATCCAAGTTCAGTGGCCTGCTGGGGCTCACTGCCTCATCTCCCACCCACGAGCTGAAGCAGGTTCTCATCCTGAAAGCGAGAGGTGTGTAGGAATGCTTCCATGGTTTAGGCCAGGGTGACATCGGGGAGGTTGGTCTCTCCTATACTTGGTATGAGGTACGCAGAAGGGGACGTGTGAGTGGTCAGGGCACAGTGCGGCCTTCCTGCTCTCCAGGGCTCCAGCTGGGCATCGTGCAGGACTTCGGGTCACATCTCTTGCCCCATGTGGTGCAGTGTCCTTGTGTCTTGGCATCTTCTGGTGGACCCCACTCCTACACACGGGCTCTGGGCCCCTAGTCTGTGCTGATTTCCATGTGTTTTTTCAAAAGGAAAAACGTACTGTGAGGCGTGTAGAAACGTCGCAGTCCTTGGCACTCGGCTCTGAGGGGCAGCCCTGGTGAGGACAGTCACCCTCCCAGGACAACAGGCCGTCCTCAGTCTGCTGAGCAGAGTGAGGAGTCCGCTTCTCTCACGCAGGTGGCCAGAGCCCCACAGGCACACCCCACCCTGGGGCGCAGCCTTGCTCAGGTTACCCCCGGCTGCCTCTGACTTAGGCTGCGCAAAGCGGCGCTTCCATAGAAACAGTTGGGCTTTCCTCAGGGTTGGGCAGTTGTGTTGTGACAGCTGGTGTTCAAGCTGGAGGGTTTTGGTTTTTTGGTTTTTTTTTGGGGGGGGGGGGAATCTTGCTGTGCAGTTCATGCTGGCCTTGAGCTTACTTTATAGCCCAGGCTGAGCTCAAACTCACAACAACCCTCCTGCCTCAGTGTCCCGAGTGCTGGGATCAGAGGCATGCGCCACCACGCCCAGCTTCTACTTTTCTCCAACATGTGCCCGTATATGTGTGTGGGCATGTGTGTACACGACATTTTTAGGCGTTATCCATCAGAGGCTAAAATTACCTGTCTTTATGTTCAACTTTATGTCTCTATCCTTCTCTCAATATTCCTAACATCTAGGAATTAACACATTGTAGATGGTTGTGGAGTATTATTTAAATGCATATGGAGGACTAGGCCGTATTTTTAAGTAGCAATTTGGACCATACTCTTAGTGACAGCTGGGAGACCTCAACACTCCTCTCCTCTTCATCCCTGTATCTCCTCTGTCTCATCTTCCAGAGTATGCTGAAAATGCCATTATTGAATTCATTTCCTTATGCTGCAGGATTTAAATACAAAGCTGAAATGTAAATTTAAACGAAAATGTAGGATCACAAGGCTGCTTTGTATTACCAGCTGTATATAGCAGTGTAACCCCAAAGTAAAAAAAGAGGGGCAAGCAGTAAGGACAGGGAGAGGAACGAAGGGAAGCAGGGTGAATGGGTAACACCCCAGGAAAGAGCGAGACAGGAGGGAAGGAAGGCTGGACAGCTGCACAGGGAAGGCGGGTGCCAGCCATTCTAACCTTCCCTAAAACTGGCCGCCAGAAATTAGGACCATTTCCACTTGTGGGTCACCAATGAGCGATTTCTCCCAAAGCTGAGAATGACAGAGGGAACACTGAGGAAGAAAGGTGTTTTCCTGCACCTCCCGGCTGCTGGTTGGGCCTAGAAACCCAGCTCCCTACCAGCCCTTCAGTGGTATGGGACCGGCTCAGGGGAGAAGCGTGCAGAAAGCAGTTGTCAGGGCTTGGAAGGAGCCAGCCTTCTGCTCCCAGCAAGAAAGCTTGCTAAGTGCTCTCGTTGTGCAGGTAACATGGGAAGAGCCCTTTCTCTGAACCCAAGCACGGAAGAAACTGTGAAGGCAGAAGGGCACACTCCGCCCTCGGCATGCGGCACCACAGCCCCTTCATCCCCCGGAGACAACTGTGGGTCGCCTCAGTGCCTGCGCCTGCAGACCCTTCTCTGCTAGCTTGTGTGCACACATGAACACGTGCAAGCGTGGAAGGGATTTCCTTCTGTATTTATAAAGGGGATCTTATTGCATAGAGACTGCCCGGCAGCTTCACTTTTCACTGCATAGTATGCATGGAAGACCTCAAATATCAGTAGGAACCTCAAAGTGGAAGTCCTGGAAGACACCCGTGACCCAAGCCTGCTCTGTCGCTGTCAGCTGTCAAGCCTTCCAGGGGCCACACAGCCTTCTGGACTATATTTTCCTCATCTCTGCAACTGGATCGTGGTCTTCACTCAGGAAAAAAGCACTGTCTTCTTTTATTTTTTGACAAGAAATACTTCTGTTTGAGAAGAAATAGAATTTAATTAGATTTTATTTTTATTCAAGCTGTTTTTTTCAGTGCTGGGCCAACTCAATCTTAAATAATAAGTTCATCATCTCCCTAGTTAATAGCAGCAGTGACATGAACAGCCCAAGGAAAACCAGAAAGCTGTATCTTTAAAAAGTGCAGGACTGTTATTAATTATAAACATTTGATAGCCTGGCCGGCGTGTGCTGAAAAGATTTGGTAAACGTATGTGAAGGAGGAGAATGAAGTACGCAATGGAAGCCAGATGGCAGAGAATGAAGGAAATTCCAGGCAATTTCTGCAGCTTTGTTCTAACATACTTTTTAAACTACTTTTATTTCTGTGCAACAGAGAACAGCTGAGTGGTACAGAACAGATAAACAGAGGGGGGAGCCCATTGTTCCAAGAGCAGAGGTCCCAGGCTCCAGTTCCGCTCTCCACCCTGGCCACAGCTTCATCCTCTTTGCTCAGACCTAGGTTAGTTCTTAGAGCCAGCCCTACGAAGGTGCATTAGAATCCCTGTGGAAAAGAGAGTCCAGGAAAATGTCTGAGGGTCACAGAATCTCCTCTTAAAAGCACACTTCAGAATGCCCCTTTTGTACAGCAGAACATCCACGCAGACTTTCTGTTGAGCAGTGCCAGCCTGTGGGGCAGGCCAGGCCTCCTGCCGGGTAAAGGAGAGGCTGTCTGTGGACCACTTCAGTGTCACCTCTGAAGCAGACGCTGAGGGCAAGGCCTTGGGAAGCCAGGGATGGAGTCACGTGGGGTCATGTCATGTGAGATGGTTGCAAAACTAAAACCACTACAGTGAAAGCAAA